GGCGGCACCAGTTGCTGATGCTTTCATTCATGCTGTTGCAGCAACAAAGAGGGGGAAGGATAGAAAAGTCTGGAAGTGCTGTGGTGTGTTGCAAGAAGGAACATGACTTGAAACAAGAGCAGAAGAAATATACGTTGGAGTTTCCTTAGGAAGCAGTTACTCTTGGAGGTAATAGTTGTCAGCTGTTTTTGAAACATCAATTAAGCCCCCAAAACACAGCTATTTTTAAATTTAAGGCTTCTGCTGATTTCTAGAATCCCAATTCCCAAAGCAGAAGGAGCATATTAGTTAAGAGAACTACTTCTAACTCAGTGATATCTTTAAACAAAGTAATTCATTCTGATTATACATTTTCTCTTTTTATTGCTAAAAATATCTGCAGGATATAAAAATATTATTTTTAAGAGTTCTTCTACACTTTCCGGAAACTCTGCATCTGATATCATCTGTTCCTGACATCAGAGTTGGATGCTGCAGGAAGTGATTATGATGTTAATAAAGAATTATTACTTCAAATTTTAATAATTTCAAGAAGCAGGGGCAGATATATTCCTAAAAAGCAATGACTTTCTTTTCATTTAACCATTCGTATAAATAAAGACTGGAGAGAGAGACACACACAGAAACACTTGACACTTGAATTTTTTTTCAAAGTGTATTTTTCAGTGAAGGATTGTAGATTTATTATAAAGACTTAAGTTAAGAAGGTTATGCCCCATCTTCAGAAAATGAATAATACACAAAACAAGTTGGTAGGCTACATTACCTCCAAATCTTTGTCACTGATGGACCAGTTTACTCCACTTTCTCCTGCAAAACAGATAAATACATAAATATATTGATGTGCTAGACTTATTTTCTCAATTCAACCACAGGGTTTCTATATATAATCAGTGCAAGGGAGGAGATTAGACCTGATTGTAGAAACACTCAATACGAAATGCTCATTTCAGTTTCAGTAAAGCACATTATCAATCTATTTGATACCAAATTTAACCCACCATAAAACTAACACATGCCCACGGTCATGTGTGTGTTTTATTCAACCCCAAAGTCATTTGGCATGAACATAACGAGAAACCAGAAATGTGGAAGTACTGAATTTGTTGCATTAATATGAATGTAACTGTGTTCTGTCATAGCACATGAAGAGCCACAACCTTTGGAAAGTCCCTGGCTAGTCTAACCGACCTCTGGCAGCTTGGGACATATAAAGCTAATACAACACAAAAATATCATTTTTCTCTTTTATGAAGCTGTGTGCAGTTGCTACTCCAGCACACCATCCTTTGCTTGTTGCCTGGCAGAACAAAATGCAATAGCTAAATTCACAAGTTAAGATTCCAAGCTCTTTGGGCCAATTAATCTTTTTCATTGTACCCACACACATTTTGTAACAGTTGAATGTTTCCAGTGAGGGGAGTTATTCTGAAGCTAAAACAATTATATCAGAAGAACTGCTGTTGTAAATAGTTATACAAGTCTAACGTCACCATGAACTACCATTGTTTACTCCCCTTTTTTTTGTATAAGAAGGTAGCAGTATAATGATCTTTTCATACTGTTAAAATTGAATCCACACTAAAGGAGTTGCTCACTTTAACTAAATTAGAATCTCAAAGATGGGCTCACTTGTGTGTACAGAAATCTTTTGTATTTATAGAGCATCTAAGACAGTGATGCCCCCCCATCTCAGTCGAGATAACTAGTAGTTGTAACAATACTCAAAAACATCATCATCATGATCACAGGATGTCTGTAAATGCAGGGGGGACTTGACTTGAAAGGCTAAGGGGCCTTTTCCAGTCCAGTGTTTGTGTTTCTAGCAATAAACAAAAAATGAGGTATATACAGAATTTCAACCATTCTTTGACTGCAGCATTCCAGTCCATTAACAGGGAAATAAGAGGTTTCAATTGCTAATTATCTACATATTCTTGTGACTAAACAGAAGTCTGTCTTAAACCCTGCCCCACCCAAAAGTTGACAAACATATATAATATGAAATCTAGCTACAGAGAAGTCATCACAGACACCCACAAATGAATACTTTGACCTTAACTTGTGCTATAATTTTCCATTTGTAATATAGGGAATGTAGCATATTCCCGCACTGACACCCGCACATGCCCAGAAGAGGCAGCACTTTACTTTAAGCTGGCTCGCCCGATGTCTGTAAAGATCGAATGTTTTAATGGGGGCTTTTTTGGTGCTTTTATTTAATAGCTGACTGAATTAGCTATTAGCTAAAAGCACCAAAAAGCCTTGCTGAAGCGCCTGATCTTTACAGATCCTACAGAACCGGGTTAAAGTAACGTGCTGCTGCTTCTGGTAAAGCATGTTTTTTTGTTTTTTTAATGTCTGCAAGCAGCCTCTGTTTTCAAGGTAGGGTTTATGTAGTGTGCTGTACATAAGTCATGGGGCCACGTGCTGAAAAGGAGAAAGCAAAACACTGAATAGTTGCTCAGTAAGTGATCAACATCCATTCTGGGCACCCAACAGAGGCAGGAATCCTGTGCTAAAAATAATATATGATAACCACAAATAGGCCAAATCAGGTGGCTTCCTCCTTCATACAACTTGGCAAGTGGTCACTGGAAACATAACAGAGACAGTTCTCCCTGGTTTCAGATCTGATGTCTAGAGATGCATTTACACCATGGCTTTCAGCTGCAAATGCAGAAAAAAGTCCTACTCAGTTCTAGCTTGAAACACACACAGTGCAGATGTAATCTTTGGAAAAAGTTAACTGCTAGAATTGAAGAATTCTTTGCTGAGCATATACTATACCCTAGTCAGGCTTTCATGGAAGTTGTGAAAAGCAGAGCCCTGGCACAAAAGCCACCCACTTCCGTATCTCAAGCATGTACTCTAAAGCATGGATGGCACTAGAGCTTTCCAAAGGAAGGTTAAAAGAATTAAAAATGTGTAAAACGATGCATTTTCCCCTAGCTTTGTACTCAGAAACAACTGAATCATCTTGGCAGAAATTTTCCAAAAAAAATTAGCCTGAAGTCGACACCAGACTATAAAAGTCACCTAAATCAAGGAACTTTTGTGACCTGTGAGATGGATACAGCCTGCAGAGCTGTGGGAGTTTGGTGGCATTTCAACAGTGGGAGGCCTTCATCTGTGCAGCAGGAAGCAGCCATGGCAATAGTAATGCAGCAGCACAGGCTAGGTTGGAAATGGCCTGAACTTGGGAGTTAAGCTCTAAAAAGGCTTCCTGTTCCAAAAATGTTTTCAATCCCCCACAAAAAGGGTTAAAGTTGAGCAAAATTACAAGCACTTGCAAGGTCTTTTAAAACTTTAACAACAGACAGTGCTACTAGCCCAACTGGTAACATTCAGGAATAAAACAGCAAAGACTGTCCATACAAATAGCCTATAAAACATGAGCTACACTCTTAAAAATAGAGATAGTGATACCATTTGAGTACAAATATAGTGCATATTTAGTATCAACGTCCTTAGCATTCTTTTCTTTGGCAACAAAAACTTTATTTTCAAATTTAATCTGTACCAAAACATGTACCTTCAGGTATACAGCTGAGAATTTATATATATTTATTAATACCCAAAAGTCTCTTATGGAAACTCAATCACAAACAAAACACGCTGAGACATATTTCTGGTCATTAACTAAGAAAACAACCACAACAAAAAATGGTGAATCACAGTCAATACAAACTATACCTTCTGTAGTCTGTGATTCTGATTTTTATGAAACATGTTAGATTAAATTATCTGAAAGGCCAAAAACTTGAAATATTACTGACTATGCTTAACATACTTTAATATTTCAGAATATAATATTCTGATCTGTAAAACAGTAATTTCTACAGTTAAAATCTAACAACTATCCAAAAGACAAAAAAGGCACTACCACACACACACCGTGTCTCATACTTTTCAAGATCAGAGGTTTTATAAGGAGGGACCTACTTAATTTGTGGTTTTGCAGTTTCTGAACATATGGTATCCGTGATCGCCAGGAAATATTCCATTGGTTGCAATTTCCCGTGAAATCAGCCCCCCCCCCCAAACCCAACATATTATCCATATAATTATTCATATAATATGCTGTTTTAGAATTTCGCAATCCTACTGTGATACTTAGACAATGTGGCAATCCCTGCAGCCACTCTCTTCTACATGAGACTTACTGACTGTCTGAGGTGATGGACGGGCCTCTCCGCCAATCGGCAGTGAGGGGCAGGGTGTCTCTGCCAATCAGTAATGAGGGGTGGGGCCAACAGGAAAAACCCATGAAAACAGCCCTTTCTGCTGCAAGCAAACCAGTAAAATGTCTTCATCTTGCTGCAAATTACGCAAGCCCCTATTTATAAGTATTGTTCTCCATGTATAAAACACAATCCTAATTATGGATTTAGTCCTGCAAGATACTGAATGCTCTGGTCTCAATCTAGCAAATTTCTCAAACATCTGCTTAACTTCAGGCATTTGAGTACTTCCATTTGTCCTGGCTGTAGAATTTGAGAACTTGACATGGATCCTAATTCCAGAGCTGTGCTTCAGAATCTCAGCCCTCATATAAGAAATGTATCTTAGTCCCTACACTTCTACAGAGAAACTTAAATATAAATCTGTATGCGTGTGTTCACCTATTACATGCATACACACACTACATATAGATTCACACACATATCATATTTTCTCACATTTAACATGCCCCTGAATACAATATACTCCTAGGTTTTGACATGCAAAATTAAGAAAAAAAAGATTTCCCCAACATTATGGTGGCAGAGAACAGACACAGCTAATCTTCAACTGAGTCACCCTGTCTTTCCTGCTTAACTAAAATCTTGCCTGAAGATCCGTCTCCATGGATGGACCTACGATTTTGAAAGAGCTGAAGAGCTGTGAAATAGGAGAAGACACCAGGTACTCTAGCATCCAGCAAAACTGTCCTAAGAAACATTAGCCTGATTAGTGGAAGATTAAGACCATTAAAAGAAAAGACCTTCATTTACACCTCTGGAGCCATAAGCCATTAAAACAACAAGACATTAAGTTGTTTGAAGTTCTGGTCCAGTATCACTAACCACTTCACCCCGGATCATCCTGCAAAATCAAGCCATCTCCTCATGGAGCCAATCCCCTCAAGTTTCACTACCTACTTGTCATTGACTCCCTCAGCTGCCTGAATAGTAATACCAGAGCTGCTGCACTACAGCAGAAAAATTTAAGTGGAGTGCTTTTATTCAGGGCAGGAATTCAGCCTCCCCACTTAATACATGCACCTCAATTTTGGGGGGTTGATTTTAGTTTTTAAAAAGTGTGTTGTATTTGAGAAAATGTGGTACCTTGTAAAACCGGGGGTGTCAAACTCCCCACTACTTGTGAGCTGGATCTAGACTGTGAAGTTCCTCATGAGCCACATCTGGATGCGGCAGCAACAGCAGCAGCAGAAGAGTGAGGCGCGGCAGTTAACATGGGGGTAGGGAGAGGCATTGCTCACCCCCTCAATGCAAACATGTACCCAGCAGGTGTCTGTGATCCAGATTTCGGTAGCAGGTCTTGCCCCCATTTGTCCTACCCCTCTGTGAGGCCTTGGGGTCAGAAAACTCAGCTCTGTGGGACACCCATTTGACATCCCTGCTCTAAATTGGTACAGTTTTGTCTGAAAACAGCTTTAAACAATAGTTTTAACCTTCTAGAACGGTCCTCTTTCCTTTAATAAGCTGGTGATTCTGAAAACCAAAGGGTAATAAATGATGTAAAGTGAGCCCCAGTCCTTCAAAGCAGCTATGTGCGCACACAGTTGCATTGAAAATCATGTGACC